AAGTTGTGGATGCCCCATCCCTGGAAGTGTTCAAGGTCAGGTTGGACGGGGCTTTGAGCAACCTGGTCTAGTGGAAGGTGTCCCTGCCCATGGCAGGGGGGTGGGAGAATATGTACACTTGAGGTCCCTTCCAACCCAAACCATTCTATGATTCTATGATTGTTCAAGACATTTGTTACTTCCTGAAGGCAGAGCAGATTAGATCTCAAACTGAGAAACTTCCGTTCTCTTGAGCTATTCTGAGAAAAAGAATGAGGAAATTTCATACCACAAAGAAAAAAAATGCGTTTCCTACAAGAAGCATACCCAACCTTCTTTCGTCTCTCAGTGGTCTCGTTAATCACACTGATCATGGATTAAACTGTTCGTAATAGCACACACAGTCTGCCGACAGGCTTTAGTGCTGGGTAATCTGAATAAAAGATAATTCTAGGAACTGTTGGAGAAAGTCTGGTGGAGATCTGAGCTACTTTTGAGGAATCTTTAAAATGTCCCAGAGATAGGGAAGAGAAGCAAGCAGCAGAGGTTTTGTTCCTCTCTGTCACTTGCTCAATGGTGTCATGTCCCTTTTCATTTTTATTAACTTTCCTCCATGATTAAGGAGGACTATAAGGTTTGTAAGACTCTTATTTGGAGATAACCAAGAGTCCACTGTTCCCTGTAGTTACAAAGCATACAAAAAGATGCAAAACCCATCAGTAATAGTAGAGGCGAAGCTAACAGGGCTACCCCTACTAGCCTTTAGCCGGTGGGGATTTCCCCTGCTGCAGAGGACCGCGGTGCAGGTGCAGCAGACTTTCCTCCCGGGTCTGCGGCGCTGGGCTGGCTGCTGGCACGTGTGCTACCGCCTGCCCGTGGCGGAAAGCCTGCAACTCAGAAAGGCTTAGGTGACCCACAGAAAAATTCAGGTGATGGCAGGCACCCTCGTCCCCAGCAAAGAACCACCTCTGGTCAAAGTTAACGTTGCTTTTAGCAGCGCTGCCTCATGCCCAGCCCTGTTCACTGCTGTTCACAGCTGGCATTGCATTAAAGGAGGGCTGCTCTACTGTAAAAGGGGGTAGCAGAGTGCCAGACCACAGCCCTGCGATCCACGCAGACCAGCCTGCAGATCCCAGGAGTCAGCATCCTGCTCTCCAGAGTTTGTAAAAAAACTTCTGAATGTCAGTGGGCATAAATGCATCAGTGTAGAGGCTAGCAACAAGGAGGGGTTTGCATTCATTTTGCTGAGGTGTGAATGAGCACATGAAGCATAAGGCAGAACGTGGGCATACCTGTGGAAATTGTGGAGGAGACCGATCTCCCAGGGACTCAACTAATTACTGGCTGCCAGCTGGACTTTGCAGCGCTCGCACAACCCTCTGAGCCCAGCACTCCAGCCAATTTTCCACC